TCCCTCATTGTCAAACAACTTGAAGGAATAAATCTCTGGACCATGTGGATACCACATTTGTTGTACAGCTTAATGAACGAAGAATTGTATATCTGTTATATGTCTGTATTAATTAGTTGTGTGGTACGCTTGGTCTTGCGTTTGTCACACTTTGTTCCAGGGGCGGTTTTTTTAAATACAGTACAAGAGGTCTCATACCAACACACGTACGTCCACAACACATCTTTTTACAGACCACTTGGTTTGTTTTTGTTTGTTTTGGTCTAAACAATTGAAGGGTTGCTTTTCAAAAATTTGATGATTTTTTTTTATACGGGATGCACTGAAAGTGCTTGAAAAAACGTTGAATTAACACGTCCGAATGATCCCTTTAAGACGTTTTTACAAACCTCCAATTTGTTTGTTTTTTGGTTAACATGAGGGAGCTATTCCACAAATCGGCACTGTGATTTAATATGCCCTTCCTCGTAGTGCAAAAAAATATAAAAGCCGAACGTTTACGTTAACGGCTTGCTGCTCTTCCTCGTTTCATCAAAAACGTGCTTTGTTTGGTTTCCCCGGACAAGCAGTTAGGAGTTATGTAACACACATTTGGCGAGAAGAGTCCAAAAAGCAAGAGAGCGGTTAGGGGGGTCGAAAAGTATCAACACGTTCGTAAATCATCAGGCTGATTCTGTTAATAGTATTAAATCTTTTTAATAGGTTAATAACATCAATGTGTTTATTAAAGTGTCACAGATTTTTTTTTTGACACGAGACTGGTGGTTTTGTTTCAAAACACCAAACCGTCGCTTCCTCGGCTGAAGACTTGGTATGTTCCTCTCTCACGTCACCCATTGTTTACAAATCAACAGAGCCTGTTTGAGGTTGGCGGCGTGGCGAGAGCGAGGACGGAGGATCGCTGCGAGGAGCGGTGCCTCTTTCATTCAATCCCCGACCACAACATCAACTAACTCACTGGCCTTCACGATGCCCTGTCGAAAGGAAAACTACATCTTCCTGGAGCAGTCCGTCACCGTCGGCTCCAAAGAGGTGGACGCGCTGGTGACTAGAATCGGCGAGGCGCTGCAGCTCCACAACAATAGCGGCGGCCACCCGAAGAAGACGGCCTGCTTGCACGAAATCACCACCAACGTGGGGAGCGTGATCAACCCGGCGGGGGTCGTCGTCGTCGGCGGCGGCGGAGTAGGAGGTACAACCGCCGCGGGTGCGCCTGTTCCAAAGCGGCAAGGGTGCTGCATGCGATTGCGGAACCGCGGCAGTAGCCGGGCGAGCCCTTACCACATCCCCGGCTCGAGCGACCAGGAGTGGGACCAATTCAAACCGTGGAACAAAAAGAGGCTGCACGCCGAAGAGGACGACCCGCACCGCCTGCTCCAGGAGCTCATCCTTTCGGGCAACCTGATCAAAGAGGCCGTGAGGCGGCTGCAGTTCTCCACGGCGGACTGTGGAGACTTCCCCAAAGCAGCAGACAACGTGCAGTGCTGACGAGGCTTCAAACACTGCTCCCATCCCTCCGCGGCCCTCTCGTTGACTTTCAAGTTAAACTCGACTAGACTGGTAGCTGTGTTTTTTTCCTCCCATTTCCCCAATTTCCAATTTTCGTTTGATTCAGAACCTTGGCTCCGTTGCGTCAGCGACGGTGGTTAGCTCGCCAGTTAGCCGCCCGGCTAATGAGCCGCGTTGTTTATGTTTGAAAATCTTCTCGACTCAAGTCGAGGTGGGGTGTATTAAGGGGCTTCAAATAAGACGGGATTTATTCATTTTCAATGACACTTTTCCCCTTCCTCTCAGTTGAATGAAATTTCACATCGGGGATTTTTATGTGTGTGATTTTTGAGGGTAAAATGGACGCCATTTTCAAGACGACTCACGTAGCCCCCGCACATGTAAACAAGTTTTTTTGTTTCCTCCCATCTTATCCGTTAATCTGTTTGTCGTGTTTGGAGGCAGGAGTACAAACTGCTAGCCTTATCCACTCCAAACACATATGAACTTAATCGCGGAGGAGAGTTTTGGTGGTTTAGTGTTTGTGTGTGTGTGTGTGTGGCCATTTTGTTTACACTCGGGGAGAGGAGACAAGAAGCAAGTGTGTGTGTACCTTGCTTTACTTTTTTTCCTCTCTTTTGACTTCCCTCGGAGCAGCTACTTTCACCATCACAAACCTCATACAACAGACCATCTGTGTCATTTTTCTAAAGCATTTTTTCTACACAGCATCGTAAAACGTGGTTAGCACCATTGCCTCGCAGCTTTGCGGTACGCGGTTCAAATCCCGGCTTCCGGTTTCCTCCCACATTCCCCCAAACTTTTAAAAAGTGAATTGAAGACTCTTAAATTGTCCATTGGCTGGCAACCAGTCCAGGATGTTTCCCTGGGATAGGCTCAAGCTCATCTGTGCTCCTGATGAGGAGTAGCGGAAGCGATTTTTTTTTCTACACCAAGCAATGTGACAACAAAAAGTCTCTTTGTGGTTGGAAGCCTCTAGGTGTCCTCTGAAAGGGGATCCCGGTGGGCAAATATGCAGGACAGTGGGGGTTGGGGTGCGGGGTGAGGCATGTGAAAGCAAGGCCATTTCCCACAGGGCTTACTATTACTTGGGTCTGTTTGTTTGCTTGTAAAAGGAGGGGGTGTGTGGTCAATGGTCACATGACAACACTTTTGTGGTGCTCTTCACTTTTTGGGAATTCCGATGAGGAGTTCTGTTGTGTTTTTTTTTTTTTTTTGGTGTGTGTGTTTTTTTTTTGTATTTGTGCTCCGTGTACAGAAAAATGCACAACTGCTTCGTACCGAAGTATCATTATAATGAGCCTGAGTATTCAGGTCCGTTTTTGGGGGGGTTGTCTTAATAAACACACTCTTTGTTTTTCCAACCTTGTTGTCTTCTTGAATTCCGGGAACTCCTTGTTGTGACTGAAACCTCATTGAAAGTGTGTCCGTCAGATGCTTTGTCCACGTGTGTGAGTGTGAGCGTGAGCAACGTGGTGTTGGCAGACGCATGTTCATTATGAGCCTATAAATACCTCCCCTGCCCACTCTATGTGGAGGAGCACAGTAGGCTGTGACAAGTGAGGGGAGAAAAACATGTTTTGCAGTGTCCTCCATATTGTTTACATCAGCTTTCAATTCTGTCACTGCGTGTGAGCGTGTCGTCGTATTTCCCAGCAGAAGAGGAAGCTATCAGCCCCTGGGGAGCACAGGAACACTGCTAAGAGAGAGCTTGAAGTGAGCCATTCAGAAATCTTAAGTTCAAAGGGGCAAAAGCATGACAACACAAAATATCAAAGGACTTATTCTGAAGTCATAATTCATAATGCCACCGTGTTTTGCTCAGGGTACAGTGAGAAGTTCATAGTGAATACCCATTTCTTGCAGGGGAAACATTTCAGACCCACTCTTAAAAGGAAAAAAAGAAAAATTATTTTGTAACCATCCCCCTGACTGATACCTTTTGAACACCGACGTCTTTGTTACTGTGGAAGCTCTATGCATGGGCACCATGGCTTGTGTCGTAAGATGTGACTAAAAATGGCAGGCAGCCTAAAAGAACGTCTGAACTTTATTTTGGAGTTCATCAGAGGCACTTAAATGGTGGTGCATGTGTGCTGACTCTTATTTAACATGCATTTGAATGTCATTAGGTTATTCTGAACACAGCAACATCCCCAGTTAGAAGACACTTGTGGAACCACAATAGCTCATCCGTCCCATCTATTCCAGTAGTTTATTTTTACTTCGCTTCATGAAAACATTTATTTTTTAGTTCAACTCAATTTTATCAGTCACAATAACCGTGCAAAAAGTTTGAAAGTGATTGATTTTGGTCAATGTTCTTATTGGCAACAAACGTAATTTGAACAGGGGTGTGTTGTGTTGATTTTTTACACCCACAGATTTCTTTAAATGTCATACATACGTTTCTTGCAATATATTGATTTTTGCACAGGAAGACAAATGAATATGACAAATTCTTTGTGTCCACATAACTACTAATGTTTATTTATGGCATAAAACAATGAATAACCGTCATGAAAAATGGATCAAGATTCTGCTTTGCAACCTATTAATTTGCATTTTGGCACGGTTAGCGAGTAGCGGTAGGACGTAATAACGTACAAATACTTTGGCATTGTACTTATAAGCTTATGTTAAATTATCAATTATTTTCATTTTATATTTGAGCATTATATTCTTTTATGTTATAGTTATCGAAATTATATTCTGTTTAATAATTGTTGAAACATTTTTATGTTGCTTGCGTCTGATTGGCTAAAGAGAAGCAGGAAGTGTTTTTCGTGACTGAAAGGGGGTTGGTTGTGTTCTCGTTCATCCGTTCGGAGGTGCAGACTTTTTTTTTTTAATTTCTCCTTTTAATAAACCGCATTAAAGGATTCCATCTCTCCTTTTGTCATTCGTAAAGAAGAGCCATCCGCTGAAAAACAACGAACCCCTCAACTTACACTTACATAGATTTTTCAGGTACCTGTTGTTTTCTTTGAGTATTCATTATTGAAGGCTGTAAATTTCCCCAGTGTGGGACAAATAAAGGATATCTTATCTTATTCAGACAACTTCCTTTACTCCCTAAATTTGAAATGAGATATCCGTGACCTTCTGTGTCAAGTAACATGTAAAAACTAAGCTAATTTACTGAACTCTTGAGTTTTTTTTTAACTTTTACTTTTGTATAGGAATTGAATCAGTATATATACTTTTACCAGTGTTTTCTAAACAAGTGTCTTTCTTCTGATGTACAGCGCGTGATTACTTTTGCCACCTATTTTAAGTAGAAATGTGGTTTGAAAATCAGAAGGAAGAAAATTATGGCGGTAAATGCTGAGACTTTTGATGAGGGTCCATCGGGGGGTTGAGTGCAGTGTTTGGAGGAAGTGGAGCTTCCTGCCACGCGTGGCGTAACCAGTCGACCTGTCTGTAGTTACCCTACATGCTCACTTGGGGGCAGAATTTCACCAAAATTGCGTGTTATCAAATCGCACGGCGAAAATGCGAATGCGATTTGCCCTGAATCCGATACCAAATAATCACCTGGTGGTATCATCAAGATAGGTACCAATCCTTTTTTTTTAACCATAAAAGTGGCTCATGAATTTGGTAAATCTGAATTAATTTTCATCATTCAATAGTTTGCCCTTTTTACTTAAAAAGTGCGCACGGGACATAGTTCTACAAACGTATCGATCACAAAACATTGATATCGATCACATTTAATACCAACATCGGTGTCACATTATCAATATTTGGACCAATCTGCCTACCATTGTAGCATAAGAGTGAAAGCTTCTCCAGGACCTGATCTTAGGAGTAGGCACGCTCCGCTGCTGTGTGGCCGCTCAGCTCTCGCTCGCCGCTTCCTTCTCCTGCAGCAGCTCTCCATGGCGGCCAAAAGCCGAAAGCAGACCGGCAAGAGCGACAAAAGCGAAAAGAGTCCCCCGCTCGCTTCTGCTGGTGGCAAAACCGGCGCCAAGCGAGCCGCCGCTGGCAGGGATGCCAAAACCGCGAACGGGCTATCGGGCATTCGCCACAAGCTGGGGCTCACTCATTCCGCAGCGGCCGGTTTGGGATTCACGCTTCTCCTCGGTAAGACAGCGTCGGTCGCTTCGATTTGGACACCCAAACCTGGGCTAAATGTGCGGATGACAAACTTGTTATCTCCCCCGTACATCAACATCGGCGCTAACGTTAGCTCACCTCACCTGTCTATGTTAGCTTTCGAGCGTTAGCCACCACTCATTGGTAAATCATTTGCCATTTGAAAGTGTGTGTGTTTTATTTTGCTCATGTAATTCCCCCCTTAAAATGTATTTATGTGTGCCCACAGCTGCTCTAAGCGGATATCTCCACTGGTGAGTTGTAAAAAGGGTCTAAAAACGAGTGCCGTGTTCAATGGTGATTATTTTTTTCTATGCTCTTTTCAATACATTTAACGATTCTATTCGAACACATCGCCCTTGAAAGATGTACTGTACAGTTAAAATTGGGAAATGACATTAAATCTAGTTGTGTCACAAAGCTTCCAGGACCCGGGCCTCAACATACATATTCTCGATAAAATTTTCTCCTAATTAATTCTCCGAGAGTCTGAAACACTTGGCCAACGTTGACTGCCTTCATGCACTCCCGGAGAATTCCTGATCATTTGAATCAGGTGTTTTGCAAGAGGGACACATCTATAAAATAATAAAAAATAAAATGATGTGGAAAAACAATTGTAAATAGCACAGCCACCTGATCTATATCTATATTTATATTGCACTTAATTGAACGGTGTACATTGAAACTCTTAACATTTATTTTGTGAATGCAAACACTTTGTTTTTATTCTTTCTACCCACAATCTTGCTGCTGTAGACTGTAAATTTCCCCAGTGTGGGACAAATAAAGGATATCGTATCTTATCTTATCTTAAAGCATGTAGGACAGTGGCCCATGAGGCAAACCCCGTCGCTGTCCATTTTTAAAGCTTGTCTGTATGCAAGACACTTTAAGTAACTGAATTGTCATGAATTCAGAGCAGCATCTAAATTGCCTGACTTGGGAATGTTCTCTGACAAAAGGTGCTTGAGTCCGTCTCCTGACGTTTCTGTCATTTAATCTGACCTTCCCTGGCTAATGTCTATTATTGTTACTCTCCACTTGCAGGTATCATCTCACACAGCTCTTTGAAAATGACAGGCACTTCTCACACTTGTCCACCCTGGAGAAGGAAATGGCTTTCCGGACAGAAATGGTGATAACAAGCTTTCGAGAGAGTGTGTGTGTGTGTGTGTGTGTGTGTGTGTGTGTGTGTGTGTGTGTGTGTGTGTGTGTGCGCGTGCGCGCGCACGATGTAAATTAGTTCAAAATGGCTCAATCACACACTCTGGAGTCAGCCAAAATAATCTCGATACACATCTGTAAATGGGAGACTTGCATAAATATTTTATTACCAAATTTAGTCAGACATCACAAGATTAATACAAGTTACCTTTGGCCCATACAATGACAAGATGTGCTCAATGGTGGCCATTAGCTTCCGGACACTTATGTGTATGGCAAACTAATGTTTGGGTAACATCGGCCAACCTGTCCAATGGGACACTACTGCACATGCATTTCTGATTTCTAGTCTAAAGGCCACCATGTAGTTGGTTTCTTGCAATTCACAGCATCTTTAGGTACCTATGGAGGAGTTGAAAGTCAGCTTTAGCTTCCTCTTCCTGGTTTCATGACCATCCCTCAGTCAATGTGTGAGGCCTTTTTAATTGATTCACTGTTTGTCTTGTTCATGGATTACAGGGCTTGTACTACTCGTACTACAAGACCATCATTGAGGCGCCTTCCTTCCTGCAGGGCCTCCATATGGTCATGAACGACCGGCTGACCGAGTACCCACTGGTCATAAACACCCTCAGGAGGTTTAATCTTTACCCAGAGGTACATTTTATGGTGGGGAACTCTTAATTCCAAATTTTGATGCTGTTGTCATTTTGTAAAGGCCAGTTTTTCCTGTCAATATTTTGGAGTTGCGGATGAGCAGAACATTTTGTCCACATTTTGAACACAAGCTTGAGAGACCAAGGCGACATCTGAGATGCACAAAATTCCGCGTGAAGCCAGAGCTGTGTGTGTGTTCTCCAGGTGGTGCTTGCCAGCTGGTACCGGGTGTACACGGCTGTCATGGGCTACTTTGGCGTTCCCACCAAGATGTGCTGGTCCATCAACAGAGGAGAATTCCTGACACCCGTGGACAGTTGTGAAGGTAGTGGCGGTTGCCATGGAGACCCTGTGCCCTCTTGCTCATACATTACATCACACACAGCGAGGGCACCCACCGCGGTAGGTTGGTCGGACGAAGAGAAGTCCTGACTGAAGTCCTCCAAAATGAAAATGGCGCACAAGCACTTTGTTTAGAAATGGTTCACTTATTGATTCGTCAACATTTACAGATATGTGATGCAACAGTTAGTCCAGAGAGAGACAAACAGCCAAATCCAAAATGAGATCAAGTTAATGATTTGTGGGGAGTGTACCGGAATTCTCGGAACCTCAAAATATTAATTAGTTTAACGATTAGCCCAACAGTAAAACCATAATCCTTAAATGTGCTCTTCAAAGTGCTTCATAAGGACACAAATACGATGAACAGAAGAATATTTTTTGAACAATAAAATCATGAATTCAACGAAAACGCTTCATACTCATGCTGGCTTGTTCGTAGTATACAAAACATTATTGCAACATTGATGTAAAAAAATCTCGTATTAAAAAAAAATGCAGATGCTCTCTGTTTCATTACATTTTAAGTTATTTTGCCAAGCTACATGGTTATTTTTTTAACTTATTTTGGTGAGGAGAAATCACTGTATTCTGCCGACTCCGAAGAGCCATTTTGAAGCCTTGCATTGATCCCCAAATATGCTTTCTTCCTTGACTTATCGTCAACTCCTGTTAAGCCAATTAAATCGACTACAGGGGGGAAAATAAGATTCATTTTATTAATTTGGAAGAATGTACAGTATCAGTCCTATCCAATTGAATGATATCGTACTTCTAGCAATAACATAACTCGAATGGTTAAAAAAAATATCATCTTCCTGTGCCGTAATCTTGCTGACTTTGACTGCACCGAAAGAAATTTTATTTTAATTTATCTGGTGGTGAACACAAATGGTGTCTTTGTAGACATTTGATGTCAATCTCTCGCTGGTTTTCAAAATGCCATATTTTGTCCTTTTTCATTTTCGTCCACTTGACATTTTAGCTATTCATCGAGTATGCAGGTTCATATTGTGTGTCTGTACGCCAGGCTTGGGAGACCCAGCTTATTTCTACGTGACATGCGTGTTCTTGCTGAACGGGGCGATGATGAGCCTGTTTTTCCTGTACGGCGCTTACCTCAGGTAGTCTTTCCAGTTTGGCTGTGTGAAGACGTGTTGTTGCTTATTGATCCACCAATATAATCGACTCGAGATGCAGATGACCTCTCTTTGCAGCTGTTTTACTGCATGCGCTGTGAGTGGGCGTGTTAACGTGTGATCTACAAAGTACTAAGATTGCTGCGCTAGTGATGTCACGATACCAAAATTCTGACTTGGATACTGTACCTGAATACAGATACTAAAATGAGAATTTTAAAAATGTTCACACGACCGGAGAAGATCCGTACTCCGTTTGGCCTCCCTTTCGAGCACACCCCATTAACAAGGCAAATCAGCCAGTGTACTTTTTCTCAGGTTTGATGAATTACATTGCGTGTGCTAAATTCATCTATTCGCATCGTCTCCGAATACGTAGTTTGCGTATCAGCCAGTGTACTTTTTCTCAGGTTTGCTGAATTACATTGCGTGTGCTAAATTCATCTATTCGCATCGTCTCCTCATAGTAGTTTGCGCGTTCATTTCAAGGCTATTTTGATGCACTCCTTTGTGCTATTTTTCCAGACCCACCTTGAGTAAATGAGGCCAATTGTATTTTCTTTCTAGCGGCAGCCGACTAGGTGGTGTCGTGACCACCCTGTGTTTCTTCTTCAATCACGGCGAGGTAGGCGCACGCTGTTAAAATGTTCGCGGCGTTAAAAAAAAAAAAAAACAGCTAATTTTTCACCTTTTGTGTGCGCGTGTCAGAGCACACGCGTGATGTGGACTCCTCCTCTGAGGGAAAGCTTTGCCTACCCCTTCCTGGTCCTGCAGATGCTGCTACTCACATTCATCTTGAGGTACGCATTCTCGGTTATGTCACCCACCGAATGCAGCCGATAGAATTGTGTTGAAGTTGGAATGCATTTTGTAATGTTTGTTAGTGACACCTACAGGACTGGAGTAGAACAGCATCACTGTTTGACACTTAAACAAACAAGTCCCCACAAATTTTTTTTTTTAATCTTTGATGGAGGTTTGCGCTCGACCGGTTGTTCTTTTTATAAAAGCGTTTCTGATGTCGCTTTTATGGATCACATTCAATTGTGTACTTAATTCAGTGTCCAGTGGGTGTCTGTTCAACTTGGTTCCCCCCTCACTGTTTTCATCACCCCCCTACCATCAGGACCAGGAACCCGAGCAGGATGGCACTGGTCGCTCTGGGAATCTCCACATTGTGCTTCATGCTGCCATGGCAGTTTGCCCAGTTTGTGCTGCTCACTCAGGTAAAGCGCAAGGCCAGACACAAGGAACAAAACATACCAAATAAACACGATTGTCAGGGTTTAAATGCCCCCCCTCCCCACTCCCCCCCTTCTTTTTTTAGGTGGCCTCCCTGTTTGCGTCCTACATCCTGGGTTACCTCAGTGCGGCCAAGATGCAGTTGTTGTTGGTCACTCACATGGTATGGTGGAGCTTTACTCTCTGATCGCTGTCTTCACTTGCTATATTGCGGTTCATCGTTCATGGGTTTCTACAGTGCACATGCAAATCTGAATTTAGAGTTACGTGCTTTCAGTGTATTATCATATTTTGCCACAAAATGCAAGCGGGTACTGAGGTCTACTGGAGGAGATGCAGTGTAATTAAGAACTTGACGAAGAGGCAGAGACGTCTCCCACTTAAACACCATTATTGTATTTATCCCCAAGTGGTTGACGACACTTGACCTGTTTGGGCATCATTGCTGAAGGATCGTGCTCACGGGCAGCCTCGTCTCTTTTGTTTCCGCAAACTGCAGGTCGCACTGGTCTTCTGCTTTGTGTTTATGTTTGGCAATGCCATGCTGCTCACGTCCTTTTACGCCTCCTCGCTCGTCTCAATCTGGGTGAGTTGAGTCTGGATGATTATGTCTAAATCGATGTTCTTTTCTTGGCAGTAATTTTTTTTTTCTCAGGCTGTTATTGCATTGAGGGATGGCTTCACTCGGATCTTCAGAACTGGTTTAATCTTCTGGGTAGGGATGATTTACTTGTGCCTCTTGTAGTATACAGTGTACTCTGCTCTGGATGCAACAAAAATCTCTCTTTTTCTTTGGTCTGAACTTCCTTCTGTCTTCCTCAGGTCATGCAGGCTTCGGTTTGGATGGGGTCCACTGTCCTGCTCAAATTCCTGCTGTCCACCATCCTCGGTGCTTCAGATGATGTGAGTTAGTGTCATCAAGATGATCACCGTCCCACAAGTGCTGCTACTTACTGTGACTTTTTGGTTTTCAAAAGCTTTTGTTATTTTAAATGTTACTCACCCTTAAAACAAATTTTGTCCAGATATATACTTCAGAGCTACTGTTATCTGTAGAGTTTTTTTTTTTTTTTCACCTTATGATGTGCCGTCGCTTTAACTCTTGTTGCACGTTGACATACTTCTGTTTCCAAGGCTCATATCAGTGGTCTGATCAAGTCCAAGTTTACCAACTACAAGGACTTCCACACGCTCATGTACACGTGTGCTGCAGAGTTCAACTTCATGGAGTGGGAGGTAAGATTGAAGTCAGTGCGTGCCTTATGCGCAGGTGCCACCTCTTTCTCTCCCCACCAGACTCCTGAACGCTACCTGAAAACGCTGCTGCTGCCCGTCACCGTGTTGCTGGTGGCTTTGATCGCAAAGATGGTAAGCGGATTTTTTTTTTTTTTTTTTTTTTTTACGATGCGAACATAAAGTGCACAACCTGATCATTTTTTTTGTCTTTTCCAGATTATGCAGGATGTTATCCGCTACCTGAGGGGTGGAGGCAAGGCGCCTGAACAAAATAAAGATCATAAAAACGAAGAAGCTGTGAGGTGAGATGATGCCACTGTGCACTTACCGGACAGTTCACTTGGTACAGCTTTCCAGTTTTGCAGGAATTTGGAGACAGTAAATGGTGAAAATGACAATTAAAAAAAAACTTTCCACTAAATAACAAAAATCGATCATTTCTTCCTTTGTATTTTTGTATATTACTATTTGTATTGTATTATTTATGATTTGTATTTTCACACAAAGGACACAGTACTGTATATTCAAAACACAAACTATACTCTCAAAACACAACACAAAAAAGGACAAAAACACATCGCAGAACTCAGTGGACGTACAAGAAAACCAACTCTGTCGACGCAACTGTATTACAACTTAGACGTTGTTGACATTACACATGGCGCACACAATATTGTCATAACTTGGCATCTCTTCTCTGTTTTAGGTGTGAAGTTGTCACTAAAGGAGAGGTGAGAAATATTCCTCCTTGTTCCCTTCCATATTTTATATTATTGCGATGAGGAATGGAAAACCGGTTCTTGTTGAGAACAGATTCCGAGAGTTTCAATTCCTCAACTCAACTCAACTGTATTTATAGAGCACTTTCAAACAGCCATCGCTGCGTACAAAGTGCTGTACATGGAGCAATTTAACATATACAACAAACAGTTAAGCAAATCGGTAATAAAGACGGTAGAAAGCCATTTGAAGCCGGGTGAAAAAAGTCACCATGCGTGTTGCGTAGCATGATTTATTGGCACAGCTGGCAAGAAGCATGGCGCCGAATGCTCGCTCAAAAGTTTTAGATTTTACAAGTAAGGAGAACAACAGGGCAACAAGGATAATAACTTGCAAATTATATTAATATTTTGTCAAGGGAGGAAACATTAGCAATATGCAAAAGCAGTTTGCACACTCAGCATCCAATAATTTAATTAAGGTCACACTTTTGATCCGCTTCGGAGTCCTCAACCTGGCAGCAGTGGAAATGTTACCCACATCCTCTCCTGCCATTACTCCAAGTAACTCTGTTAGTGTCATTTTGAACCCAAAAGGAATGTCACAACGTCCATTTGATTAAAGCGTGTTATCATGATGCCAAAACAATTCTTTACGTTCAATGAAATTCTGACATTACTTTGTTCTGCTTATTTTACTTACATGTAATTATAGAAGAAAAAACACATTAGAATTTTAGGGGGAAGGAGGTGGTGGCAGGAACAGGAACGCTATTTCCATTCATTTCAATGGGGAAAATTGATTTGGGAAAAGTCATTTGAGTTGCCAGCATGGTCACGGAGCTAAGTATAAACTTGGAAGTCAAATGACCACTGTGTCAAACTACTGGAGATGATTTTATGGTGACTGTTTCCTGTGCGCTCCTGCAGATGGCGTATCACAGTCTGCAGCTGTTGGCATTCAGTGTGCTGGCCGTCCTCATCATGCGGCTGAAGCTCTTCCTCACGCCGCACATGTGCATCATGGCCTCGCTGATCTGCTCCAGACAGGTGGCTCTTGACGGCTGCGTCGCCGTGTTCTCATTCTAACGTAACTGAGCCTCTCCCTCCCCTTCTGTGTTCTCCTCAGTTAATGGGCTGGATCAAGGACAGGGCCAAACATCGGGCCGCCGTGTTCCTCGTGTTGGCCCTCATGGCGGTGAAGGGGGTGGCCAACCTGAAGGCCCAGTGGAGCATCATTGGGGAGTTTAGCAACATGCCTCAGGAGGAGCTGCTGGACTGGATACAGGACAACACTCTCCCCGGTGAGGGATATATTCACTCTACTGACACTAATACTATTGTGAAAATCTCCCTTTGTCTGTCCGTCCATCCGTCCATTTTTTTAAATCCACTTATCCTCACAAGGGTCGCTGACGTGCTAACCAGTCGACCACCGTGCAGCCTCTTTGTCTGTGTGGAGATAAATAAATAAATAAGTAAAACATTTGATCGAGAAGCCTTTAAGAATATTGACCTATGTACCGAAATGGGACCTTGCAATCTTCATGTTTTCGAGCGCACCAGAGATTGTTTTGTTGCCTCGCCAGGCTTATAGTTACACAAACATTATGATTTTCCTGATTTTTCAGTGTTCTATGACAGTGCACACTCAGACAACACAACACGCATGCGTAACTTGGTAGAGCTCACACGCATAACAGTGTGCATGTCGCATTCACTTTTTTGGTGTGTTATGTGACGCAGATGCTGTGTTTGCGGGTGCAATGCCCACAATGGCCAGCGTGAAACTGTCCACGGGTCGACCCATCGTTAACCATCCCCACTACGAAGATGCTGGTCTGAGGTCAATGGGAGAGTCACATGACCACTAGTAGTCATGCGATTGGACTCTGATGCTCAATGACTATGTTGTGTTGTGTTCCCCAGGGAGAGAACCAAGCTGGTGTACTCCATGTATAGCCGCATGTCTGCAGAGACTGTCAAGAGCAACTTGAACAAGCTGGGAGTCGACTTTTTTGTTCTGGAAGATTCTTGGTGTACCAGGAGAACCGGGTATGATACGCCACTTCA